AAAGTATTGGTCGTCTGGGATGTCGCTGATAAAGGGCAGTCTCGCTTGGAGTGGCTGCACTTGACCGAAGAAGAATGGGACTTCGGCAGGGGGGGCGTGTCTCACCCTGGTGAGAGATAAGCGCGCTCGCCCAGGATACGCGAATGATCGAGGATAATTGTATATACTCGTATATATTCATTCATTCGTATATCACTTGGGGACTGTGTTGATGAGATGTCATCTATTCTCAAGCGCACATCCTCAGTTGCCGTTTTGCACTATCCACTCGACTCTATTTCCATGCCTATGACTGTGGAGTTGAATGCCCAACCGAGTGATCACGATGGAGATAAAGACACACTTACATGTTCGGTAGTCATTCGTCCAAGTCAATAAGACTACTACTTTCACAAGCTTATACACCGAGAAGACTTGCATCATGTAAGTTACATGGAGGCAGCAATACGTATAGCTCAAAACTGTGGGTGTACACTAAGTTGGTGGTCGGTATAGTGTAGGACTACTATTTGAGTTGGTGGTCGGCATAGCATGGGAGTACTACATAAGTTGTTGGTCGGTCTAGTGTAAGAGTACTATATAAGTTGGTGGTTTTATATAATCAAGTGATCCCTGAACTTGTCGAGCCGTTTGTGACTCACAAATAGTGAGCCCACTCCCCCCCCCCCCAAACTTGCATTCACCATCATCAAATTGACCACTTCGACACTCTCTAATCACCAATGACAACGACAGTTTCTCTCACGTATTGGAGAGGGTCCAACTTCTTGGGGTCCACCTTACGAGGCATAGTAAGCAACCATTGGTAGCATGAATACGCAGGTTCGATGGATTCTCGCTCGCCCGCCGAAGGCGGGCGAGAAAATAAACCCCCATTTCATAAACCCCCACTATATCACCTCGGGGCTTACGAATAACCCCCAGGGGGGAGTTATTCTATAAACCCCGGAAACCGACCACCCTGCAACAGACTCGCATATTCAAAGATGAGATAGAATTATGGATAAAACAGAAATATATTAAACCATGTAAACCAGATTTTCCTCGAGCAACTTATACAATAATGCCACAAATTCAATTACACAAAGTAACAACTCCAATACGTCCAGTATTGAACTTGAAACAACTCAACATGTTAATTAAGAGCAGACCAAATGAACAATCAGACCCATTGGCATGCGGAGCAACATTAAGAAAGTGGCGATGCAAGTATACGACGAGTACATATTTGATAGATATAAAGAAAGCATATTTACAGGTGAAAATAGATGAAGATTTACAGCCTTATTTGTGTATAAGATTACCATATCTAGAGAACGAATATTGGGTTATGGTATCAATGCCCTTCGGATAAGCATAGCACCAAATGCCTTACTGAAATCTTAAAGTTCTGTCTA